TGCAGTTCACACGCCTTCATGTTTAACATCCCTGTGGCTTGAGTGTGGTTGAAGTTTAAAGGAGATTTAGAAGCGGGCCCCCATGGAAATGCGACGAGTGCACCATTTTGGGAAAAGACATTTTGGAAACCAACCCAGTGTGTTTGGTTTGAAGTGTCAGGTTCCATCATATTTGCCTGTAGTTCAGTCTGGAGTTGTTGTGTGCTTGACAGTTTCCTTGCGCGGCAATTCCACGGGGCAAATCAATTGCAACCAGGCATTTCATGGTCTTCATTTTGTGGTGCCGTTACAGTAGGCTTAAAGTAGATGGCACAAACATGCACAAACCCATAGACAATAAGTTTAATTGCATGGGAACGCATAGATACATGCCACAATGCTCTTGGCTCAGTTCCCAAGTGATTATCTATACTCTATACAGGGATTTGCCTACAGTCTTGAATGTCTTTGGAATGAAGCCCGGAGTTGTGAGGGAAGTACAAATCTCCTCTTGGGATTCCTGCGAAGAAACTGCTGATTCCTGCAGTTTCCGTATGCAGCTGGTCATGTCGTTTGGTAGTAAGTTGAAGAAACAAACACGATAGTCGAAGTCTCATTTGGTGGTACTTGACTTCTTTTTGTGGTTTCGGTTTCGCATGGTTTGTTAGTGATCAACGCATATCATTGCATATCAACACATACTTTAAACACATTTGGAATTACCTACAAACAAAACTAGGACATCAAGGGTTGTTTGCAGTGATCTTATGATATTTCATCGTAAAACAACATAAATAAATAACAAATACATATATATATATATATAGCTATAATAAATGCCATCCATCTTTTTGCACGCTGAATTGGCCATCGTTCACTCGGCAGATTGGCCATTGGCTATTCAGATGTATTCTGTGTGTTCACGGGTGTGGCCCATGGCTGAGCGCCAGGAGTACAAGTCCATGAGCACGTTGGGACTTCCGTACATCACCTTGTCCACGGTCTTCAAGGCGAGTGGTGCGTGTTCGACCACTGAAATCAAGGGAGATTGGAGATCACGGTGGAAACGACAAGTTGGACTGTTGGGACTTCTTTCTTGGGTGAAAACACAGGACGTCGCAAGATACCATGTTTCCAACCGTCCAATGCGGCCAATCACCCGTCAAGTACGGTGCAAGATGGTTTTTGCAATTAAATTCATATATTCCTTGATTATATATGCTTACCCTCCACAAGAACAAACCGATCTATCAACGGTCAATCAACGTGGAACTTGGTCTTTCTCCGGCTCAGCGTGGCAAGACACAGTGGGACTGACCTGATGGTATTTCAAGGGGCGAAGTGACTCATCCGAAAAGCGGGACAGCAGAAGAGCTCAATTGGACCCTGTCAACCAGGTCGCACTTTCACCGTGCTCCTAGTAGTAAGGCCAGGAGCCCCTAGTAGCGTCGTTGCTCCT